ACTGCGAGCGCAGTTGGAGCTGCAAATAATAAAAGAAGACGGGGAGGCAAAAATTCAAATAAATGTTTGTTAAGTATTTTTGAATTGAGTTCCCCGTGCACGCCCGCCCAAACATTCATACACGCATTAGGCCAAAGCGAATAGGAAACCGTTTAGATCCGTGCACCTGCTGCTTCACAGTCACAACATCACAAATGGCTATAACAGAAAAGCCCTCATGGCAACGACAGCGACAGATGTGGGCTTAACAATGGTATAGGGCAACAAAGGTGCCATCCTATAAGAAATGCAGTTCTCCCGGTCAAAGAAATGAGATCGAATATTTATAATAAGAGTAAGTATAAGTAAGCAGCAAGTAAGAAATAATTTATGAAATATTTACTGCCTGCAATGTCTGATTTCAGTTCGTGGCACTTAAAACCACGATTTTCGGCTTGCCCTCACTTCAGCTTTCCCTACGCATTTTCCTGGCCATCAATTGCGGTTCGCTTTTCGTATTGTGCTCCAATTTGGCCCTTTTGCCCGCAGTCAGTCCCTTTCTGGTTTCGATTCTACGATTTTCTCGCACTAGTTGCAGGCATCGCGTGTCTCTAATGACCCGCGACAATGGACGCTTACGAAATTTCGGGCCACCGCCTTCTTTTGCATATTGCACTGCAGCTGACATAAAATTGCCATCGCAGTACGGACAAAACACCAAGCCACTCGATGGCGCATTCAAAAGCCAGTATACAGACGGTCATTGCAGTTTATCGGTTGGCAGTTCTAATTTTCTAAGGGGGCAGCGCAAGTTGGTCACTCAAATGCAGGCGTCGGTGTCTTTTTCAGTCAAGTGGCACAAGTTTTCGGCTCAACTTGGTGAAAACTTAATTAGAACCGCTTAAGTCGAGTTTCTTTAATCCCCAATTTAAGTTTCAATAGCCATTTTTAGTTCTGGCCGAGGATAATAATCGTGAAACAGCACAGTCTTTAAAGTCCACATGACGTATACTTGATTTTTGTAGAGTTCACTGTTTCTTTTTCAGCAATCAAGGAATCCTAAAAATAACCTAAGGTAACCTTTTAAACTTTTATTTTTTCCATTACGAGATTCTTAAGATGGATTCCAATGATTTCTACCGCTCCAAACTGATTTCATTCCCTTTCCAACGGGCTCCAAAGTGCCTGTCAATGGGTTCGATGCCACTTGAAGCAGTTTGCATGAAAGAAACGACAAAAAGGCGAAATCCTTTTCATGTTTTGGCGTTATTTAATTAACAAGCAATTTGTTTCGGCCCGCTGCTAATTAGGCGCGTCCCATCAAAGACAGCAGAAGACAAAAGTCTGGCGATGCATCGAAGCGAGCTCGGATTTCGCCCATCGCCAATCGCCCATCGCCTTAACCCTTGACAACTTGAACGCCTTTCAGACACATTTCCATTTTCACACTCAACGTGCCGAAAACAATTAAGCGAAAAGAAGCCTGAAAAAGGAAGCAGTCAAAAGAATAAAACAAAAAAAAAAAAGGATGGCTTTGTCTTAGCGAATACTTTTTACTTTCAGTGGGGAGGGATCCACGAAAGGTAAGGGCCCTAACGACGCAGCAAGTTATTGGTGTGTATAGCCCGAAAATCCAAATTCTCGAGCTCCAAGTTTACAGAAATCGCACTGCTCGTCGCGCCAATTCGTTTGATAGAGCCACTGTCCGAGAATTTGAGGAACACCCAACTTGCAGCGGGAACTTGCGAACTGCACGCACCACAAGAGTCGGCTAACTATAACAACTTGCGTTGCATGCCTCTTTGAGTCGAGCAACAGCCAACACAACTAGCACAGCATTAGTGGTTCGGCGGGTCTTGTATCCATTCAGCGTTGCACTGAGGGAATTTCTTTTAATATGGCTGAAGGATTTCGTCTTTCTTCCCTCAGTATACTCAAACGAAATGGGTCACAAAACCTAACCATTGTGCATAATCATGCTGCTCAAAGCTCTCTATAAAGGACAAGCAACTTGAATAGGTAATTCATAAAACCAGGTATTGTATTTAAGATTTTAGTAGACTTACCATTGACACTTCAGTTCGTTAGATTGATAGCATAAATGATTTAGGGAAAAAATAAAATCACAGGTGATTGAATTAGGTATAAGCATTTACTACTGAGCGTTCTTTTTAATGTGTCATTACAATGGCCATTTCAGAGCTTTGATAATTCAAGGAATTATTTTTCAGTGTATGGAAGGAATCGTTGTCATGGTCACGTTCAGCATCTGGTGGTGCTTCCGGCCGGCGCTCCGCACGAACGGACGATGAATAGCGGCCATGTTCCAAGTTCCATGCTCCATGCGCCAGCCACAACAATTGTCAAACAAGCCAGAAAAATGGCGGCTTTCAGCTGCATCTCCTCCTGCCACTTTTACTCGGCTCCTCCGGACGCCGGGAGCACTTTTAATGCAGCTCTTATTATCCTCTAACATTTTCTTTGTACTCAGCTAGCTGGGCTGTCTGAATTATGACTTGGTATGCGTCCAGTTTTGGGACTACGTATTTATTTAATCATTTGAATACCTCAGACTTTCAATCAATGATAAATTCTACCATTTAAAAATAAATGCAACTATTACTAATAACCTATTGGACAATGGCAAGAGATGAAAAAGGGATACAGATGCAAGTAAGGAAACGCAGTGTGGAATCACGATCAGATTAGAGAAGTTCATCTACCGAACAATTTATAACATTTTGAGAAACCATTTGAGAGATAGAATATGCACCGTGCGGCTATCTACGTTCACTGGGCACCGGGGAAAAAAAACACAAATAAGTGGCCCAGAATCATTTTCAATTAGCGCTCAGCTTGGAACATTTATGGGATTTGTCAAATATGTAATTTGAGGAAAACTTTGTTTTATGGTTCCGTGGCTTTTTGAACCCGCAAATAAACATTTGCGTAATGCTCACAGTTTGTCCCATTGCCTTTTATGCAAAAGTTGTAAACGACTAGGACGGCGAAGAGTCCTCCGGCGCAGCTCCTGGATATCCTGTTTTATGCCCGACGCCCCATCCCCAGCTCCTCGCAAAAGTTGCCGCAGTAATAAAGGAGATTACCGTGCACATAACATGTGAGTAGCCGGAGTCCAGTCGGAGATGGGGAAGATGAGAGGGATTGGGCAAGGTCTGAAATGATTTCTGGCCTGGCCGCAAAAGCCAAGGGATCCTTTGAGGCGGTCAGGACATGGATATACTGGACTCTGCAGCTTCTCCCGGCAAAAGAAAGTTGCACAGTAGAAACGGCACATTCATAGAATATGCATTCAAATGTGCGCAAAAATTTTGAACTACATTTTCTTATACTCCTCTTTTTTCTACTAAACGTTAACCACAATGGGGTCTAAAAGGATCTACTTGAGCATGCCTCAATGAAATGATATTAAGTTTTATAATGGTTCACAGTCAATTTTTTCAGTCTTTCAATCGCCACTTCATTTCGGCTAATTTCAGTAAGTAATGCTGTTTGAATTCGCTTTATTTATTTAAAACGCACATACAGATTAGGGCATTTTTATGCTACCTTCTAATCGCACCAGCTTGGCTATGCACAACTCTACCGCATTTTGAAACCAGCCTTCAACGTCGCTGCCGTTGGATTTAAAGTAAAGTTGGGGTAAAACAGCAATCTGTAAGTTTTTCGGTCTCAGCCACCGTCATTTAATTTGAGAGCAACAACGGTAAGCGCATAAGCAACCAAGCCGAGGAGTTAAAAATTTCTTAGCCAAGAGTTTTGCTTAGTTTTTAATTGCAATCAAAAAGTTGTGTACCAGAGAGCAATGGAGGGAGCTCGCACATAGGGGCTGTCCATGAGAAGTGGACAGTTTGGCCAGTTGGTCCAGTTGGTCCAGTTTTGTCACCCCCAAGGTCCCAGTCATAATGACAAAAGCCGAGACCCACTCAAATGGCAATAGAGGATGAACCCTGAATGTTGCATTTGAGAAGGGCGTCGAGAAAATCCCCGATGGCTCGGAGTGGACCGCAAAATGGCCATGCAACCAATTCTCCAGCATAAAACAAGCCAAGTCCACACCCCAACACGTTGTCCTTTTCCATAGTCTCGGTCTCTAGCACATCGGCAAAATGCTCTGTGCGGACTTAATGATTTTTGGCTTAAAGTTTTACCAGTTAGCAGTATTTTTGCAAGTAGTTAACATTTTATGAGACAAACCACCCCACACACCTCTTTCTTCGACCAAATGCCCGGGGGTCTTTGTTTTATGCATTTTCCAGCTAGCCCACGAAGAACTTGCTCGCTCTCCGTCGCTTTTCCTATCTTATGGGGGAAATCAACGGCGGAGCTAGACCAATTCCAGGACCAAGACCAAGATGATGACGACACACAAAAACGAAGCGAAACTTGATAAAAACTTTTATCATAACAATTTGTGTTGTTTTGCTTAGCTACTGCTCCTCGTGCTCCGGCTGCCCAAATAAGAACAATGGGTATGTGTGTATTTGGTGTGCGTAATGAGAAAAGTGTAAGGGCATAGCCCAGGGCTCTAGGAGAGCTACAGCTCGTCGCTTAAAGCATTCAATTTAGGATCTAGCATGCTGTACATCTCATGTTTAAAATTTATTGCGGAAAATAAACCAATTTAACCTTTAATCGCAAGGCCTTTAGCCTAAAAATGTATCTCCCTTTAGGTTAGTCTTGTTTATAGACAATAACTTAGGTAAATAAGTTCTAGTAGAAGTTTTGAAGAATTATAGCTTTATCTCATAATGACATTACTTGATGTAGGTATTATATGGCACTAAAATAAAAAATCCTAAGCATATTCTTAAGTACATATTCCAGATTCGATCAAGTAGCTCATATGGTAGTTAGCTGGGTTACCTACCAGTTTGCGGAAGATCAGTCGCCATGGACACCAACCCAGTGAACTTCAAACTGTAGGTTGAGCTTTCACCTATATTACTGGCAGTAACGATGGCTCGAACGGCGACGGCTCTTGAGTCAAGTTCACAATAAAACCGTGGAAACCTTGCCCTGGCTCATTCAGTTGGCTGTTGGCGCTCGGCTTGGCTTTTTGGCTTTTTGACTCACGCGATCGGGAAACGCGTTTCGCGGCAAAGGCTCTTCCAATAATAACGGGTTTCTCGGATGCGACACTCGATTCGGAAGCTTTTCTAAAATAGCCAATATCGTGTGTGGCAATCACTTAAGCCCTACAGTCAGCAAAACAATAGCATTAAGAGCAATATAACCTTTAGCATTTTTACATCCCATAGCCTTGGCTTGGGCAAAGAGTTTTAATTGAACACAACTTTAGCCGGTTCGAAGCTGTTTTAGCCAACTGGTACTGGTACCTTACCTACATTAACAACTACCACCGAAAAAACACCTGCAAATCAGCATAGGCCCAATTGTCGCACTGTGAAGTGAGCCGAAGTGAAGGTGTAATTGCGCATAGTGTACAAAGAATATCGAGTATAAGAAGTGGCTTAAAAAACCGGGTAAGACTCCATAAATCAGCTCAAGGAAGCAGAGATCATGTTCAGTTGCACCAGGTGTGTCCTTGAGGCTTGTGATTTAGGAATAAATACCATCGTACAAGTTAAAATTAAAGTTATAAGTCAAAGGTGTTGCATCTCGTATGCATTACCTTCTTGTGTGTTTCGATTCGGCCAGTATGCTTGACCTCTTCCACCGTTACCACTAAGGCAATAATGACGGGCGTGACGTATACGCAACGTGGGTAACAAAATCATAACAATGAATGCGTGCATATTAAATGGTGGTTCGTCTATCGATCGTTATCATCCGTTTGTTTTGGTACTGAGCGCAACAAGTTGCCCATATAAAAACACGTTTTTGCATGCTAATGCCCAGACGGTAGCCGATTGAAGTGTTTGGAATCCAAACTGAGCAAATTTGAATGCGTTTCATTGTACCATTCATTTGAATATATGTATGTAGGTGTAAGCTGTTTGCAGTGGAATGAAATGCTAGCTTGAGTAGAGGAAAATACCCGAAACATTTTGCCATTTATGTGAGCATTCCATTTCCTTAAAGCTCTTGTCTTAAAGCTTGTCTTAAAACTCTTGATTTAAGATAAAACCAGAAATATCTGCTTCTGACCCATCACGGATCTCTGAAGTTAATGACGTCACAGTACCCATTCTCTAAACTTTATGCAAAGAACAAAAATAACAGAAAAAATATACTTCTGATGGTTCTGACTCATGCCGCGGGGAAATCACTTTTTTGTCGCGACGTCGACCATTGAGAAGTGAGCATTTTTAAGCAGAATTCAAAACTAGTTTTATAAAGAGACCAACATGAATAAAAATGCGAATGTTTTATTGCGGATTTGGACGTCAATCATAAATAATTGATCCAGGTTCTCAACGAGTCTTTTTGAATTTGGTTGATATTTCATCAATGTAGATTTTAAACAAAAATTGGCGTAGTAACATTTTCGCTTGATTTCGATTGCAAAAACTTGTAATTATTGTTGTGGCAAGAACCTGAAATGGTACACTAATGTAAATAGATTTGCAGGCAATTGCAAAAAATATAAAAAGGTATTTATGTTCATAGGAACTATTTAATAAAAAATGTATATTTTCTTATTTTACGTTTACGTTTGATCAGAACAAATGTTTGTATGCACAAAATCTTTAGAAAATTTAACAATTCCAAAAATGTATGAGACAATAAAACAAACTTTTATTATCATGCCAAATTTCAATCAAAAAACGTGCTCCTTCACGGCAAATTAATAATTGTAAATTAATGCAAACAATACGTGTCAATATTTTTGCAACAGTCAACCGGTTCATCAAGTCAACCATACCTATATTTTGTTTGCATACAAGTGCATATACATTTATATTGTACATATATCATTATATCACTCACGGCTTAGCAGTTTTATCTCTCACACCAATTATCAACTTAAGTGATTCCGTAAATAAAGGAGTTCATATTTAGTTTGCTCACTTAATTGTTCAAGCTCTGGCATCAGCCATTCAGATATTTATTTATTAAACAAACGTAATTTTTTAGCAAATATCCACACTAGATTGCTTGTCTCCGAAAAACATCAAATTTATTACACATTACTTCAACTTCAACTGTGAATTTGCTTAACTGAATTGGTATCAGTTCAGAATCAGAACTCAAATCACCTTAAGTGCTATATATTTTATTGAAGCCAATTACTTTTACGAGCTGTATTCAAATTACAAGTATAGCTTTTGTTGTGTGTCAAGTTGAGAAATGCATCCAATCGACACTCTGTTAAAACTCTTTTATAATTTGTAAACGTTTCAGCAGATAAACTTTTTAAATCTCTTATCACAACCAGACAAATGCCATAATTCAGTATCTAAAGGGCAATGCAGCGAGTCTCTCTTTGTATCCTATTAGCCATCTAAGTTTATCTGGCTCGTGACAGTGACATCATATCTTATCTACAAGATCAGTGGGTTAGTCTGATTGTCAGTTATACAGCTTGAGCAAAGAACATCCCAAAAACGATCTAACTTAGTTCAAGTCCACAACTCGTTGCTAACGGAACGAATAATTTCAGTTAGATTTCTGCCGGCAATATGGATACGTCGCAAAGGAACCACCAAAATGCAGCCTTCGTGGGCGACGACGGACGCAGTACGGCCAGCACAGTGGAGATTTCGGTAGGTTTCCCGTGAAACAGTTGGAGCATAATCCACGAGCCAACTAATCATCGTTCTATAGACCAACAGTTCAGCCCTGCGGGCTAATTCCGATGACCAGGAGGCAGCCAAAGTGCCAGAGGAGCGTGCCACTTGGGGCAAGGGCGTGGAGTTTCTGATGTCCTGCATCGCCATGTCCGTGGGCCTGGGAAACGTGTGGCGATTCCCCTTCACTGCCCTCGATAATGGCGGTGGCGCCTTCCTCATACCATATCTCATTGTTCTGTTCCTGATTGGCAAACCGATTTACTATCTGGAAATGGTAATTGGCCAGTTTTCCAGTCGCGGCTCGGTTAAGGTGTTCGATTTGTGCCCGGCCATGAAAGGTAAGCGTCCCAGATTTTATTGCAGCCAGTTCGAAGATGTCATACTCTTGTTAATAAGCCAAAAAAAAAGTAGCTTCTTAAATAACATTTTTAAAGACAACGCTAGCACATTTAAGAGTGGTTCAATATATTTGTAGAAAATTATAGTTGCAAATTATGCTTTTTTCTCAATAATTAGTAATCTGAATAATAGGAACTTTTTAAAAGAAATAATAAAATTGCAAAACATATCCCTTTTCCGGAAAATCATTTGTTTCCGAATTTGAAACTACCCCTTATGAGCAAGAGCATGACAACAGCGAACTGCAGAAACTACATCATCATTCTGTTCATCAACTCGCCCGCTCGTGTCCCGAATACGCGACCACAACTATAGGTGTCGGAATCGGCCAGGTGATATCCATATCCATGGTGACCACCTACTATGTGGCCATAATGGGCATAACCCTGCGCTATCTGTACGAATCGTTCCGGTCGCCGTTGCCCTGGTCTGAGTGCCGACCGGAATGGGAATCCTTCTGCGTGGCGTCCAGTCTGGGTAACACCTCCCGGCTGGCCAGCCCCATGGACATGGATAGGCTGCCCCAGCGGCAGCCCGTGGCATCCGCGGAGTTGTATTTTCTGTAAGTGGTTTGTTCCATCTGCCTGTGGTTGTTGCCCTCCGATTGCCTGTGTCATTGTGGATTGGTTGCTGGTGTTGCAGTGGCATGTTTTTCGATGGTGTTACGGGTATGTGTGGGTGACTGTGCACTGTGGGTAATCTTATCGCGGCTCGAAACGCGAAATCACAACGGCATACTCAAGTTTATTGCGCGGCCGACAAAGGCGCGGAATGTCCGCTTTATTACACCACTAATTGAATGAGTACCCGCATCCCTCTGGCGACAATTCTGGCACCCATTGCCATCAATTGTGCTGCAGTGGCTCTGCAATAGACCGATGCGATTGCAACAGCCAAACAGAAAGTGATACCATCCACTGGCAGTTCAATTGACAGCCATCGCCATTGTCAATGGCTACATCCAATTTCAGATTGAATAACCCCATAACAACAATGTGTGGCCTTGACCCAAACTTGAAATATTATAAAACGCGATAAGATACAATTCCACGCTCCTTGAACTATCTCAAAGGTCACGGTCTCAACATAACACTTCAACTATATTTGAACTAAAAGATATTTGAGCTTAAAAGATATTTTTACAATTACTAAGCTTACAACAGAAGAACGTTTTAACAGGTACTTTTACCTCACTAAGCCAGTTTCAGTATATAATCCCTTGTGCTAGTAATGTTATTTAAAATTGTGCTCCACCTAGTAATGGCTGGTTACTTCTCTAACTATGACAGAGCAACAAAACACAGCTTCTCACTAACGAATTTATGTTTTAAGCCTCCTTTTCCTAATCATACAACCATCATACACCAAAACACTCCCTTCTATGCCATTTGATTTGTGTCCTAACTCTTTCTTTTCGTAACTCGTTTGTAATCGAATGGCTAAAGGTGTTGGAGCTGGCCAGGCTTTCCAGGTGTTTATGCTGAGCACTTACTATGCCGCCCTGGTAGCGATAATTGGCCGATATTTCATTGAATCATTTCGCAACCCATTGCCCTGGTCCACATGCCGTGCGGAATGGGGTATCCACTGCATTAACTCAGCCCCCGATGCGAGTAATTGGTCTCGAGTGGAAGGCGCTGATCAGCGCCCTCAAAATTACACAATGAAATCACAAAGCGATCGGGTCATCACCAGTTCGGAATGGTACTTTGTGTAAGTTCTAAGTGTCGGGGAAAACACGGTTACCAAGTTCACAAAATGACTATTTGTATGACTAATATCGCCAAGTTCCAAGCTTACTAGGGCTTTAAATATTACCCCGTTCTATTTTGGTTAATCAGTTTTCAAAAAGAATTATTATTACTCACATTGCTGGTCATTTAGTGAACTTCAAGTAAAGTAATAGCGCATGAAAATACCAGTTAGATGTTGATGGCTTTGTTTAACTTTAAATACTCGGTGGTGGTCTGCTATTTGCAATGCTATTTGCGCTGATTAAATGATATCCTTTCCCCGTAGTACGGAAGTGCTGCACGAGAAACCCAATATCGAGGAGGGAATCGGCCTGCCAAACTGGGAGTTGGTCATTGGGCTGTTCGTCGCCTGGGCCTGTGTGTTCCTCATCATTCGTCGCGGAGTGAAGAGTTCTGGCAAGGCATCCTACTTCCTGGCCCTCTTCCCGTACGTCATCATGGGTGTCCTTTTGGTGCGAGCTGTGACTTTGCCTGGCTCAATCGATGGTATATACTACTTCATAAAGCCGCAATGGGGAAAGATTCTGGACCCAAAGGTCTGGTACGCAGCGGTAACCCAGTGCTTCTACTCCCTGTCCGTTTGTTTCGGCAACATCATCATGTACTCCTCGTTCAACAAGTTCGGCCACAACGTGCACAGGGATGCGGCCATTGTGACGGGTCTGGATACTATGACCTCCCTGTTGGCTGGATTCACGATTTTCGGTATACTCGGGCATCTGGCCCACGAAATCGGAACCGATGACATCGGTTCAGTGGTGAAGGGCGGTGCCGGACTGGCCTTCATCTCATATCCCGATGCCATTGCCAAGTTCAAGCAGCTGCCCCAGATCTTCTCAGTGCTGTTCTTCCTCATGCTCTTCGTCTTGGGCATAGGATCGAACATTGCCATGACCTCCTGCTCGGTGACCGCCATTCGGGATCGGTTTCCCAACTTTGGGCAGTGGCAGTGCTCGCTGCTCATAGCGGTTGTCAGCTTCATCATCGGATTAGTGTATATAACACCGGTAAGTGTTGAGTACTTGCATATTTTAAAACTTTGCCAACTGTTTGCTGTGTATCTTAGGGCGGTCAATATATGCTGACTCTTGTGGACTTTTTTGGCGCCTCCATGATCGCTTTGGTGCTGGGAATCGCCGAGCTGTACACCATTGGATGGATTTATGGCACAGATCGCCTGTGCAAGGACATTGAGTTCATGCTGGGTCGCAAAGTGGGCCTGTACTGGAGACTCTGCTGGAGCATCTTTACTCCAGTGATCATGACTGTTATTCTGATCTATTTCTATGCGACCTACCAGCCTCTAACCTACAACAATATTGTCTATCCGAATTGGGCTTACAGTTAGTAGTTCATTGTGCATCAAAGATACAAGTAGTTAATACCACTTTATTTTTAGCTATTGGCTGGCTGATAACTGCCTTCGGAATTCTTCAGCTGCCCATATGGATGATTGTGGCCATTGTTCGAGATCCAGGTCAGACTCTCGGTGCGAAGATCCGTGGTGCCTTTACGCCGAAGAAGAACTGGGGACCCAGTGACCCTCTTCTCCGGGAACAGTATCACAAGGAAATCGAGAACGAATTGACGCCGAAACGGGGTCAGGGAATTTGGGCTGCCATCAAGCAAAACATATTTGGTTGATCCATCATCAGCGTGGACAAACTTGCAACAATCGCTCATGTAAATAATCGTAATTTAAGAGAAAAGAATTTAAAAGATCTTGTATAAATCCTAAGTCTGCCAATAAACTTAATAAGTATGTAGCAATGTGGTGTCCTTTGAACCAAACGCTCTGCTAGGCTGTATTTTATGAATTGTCTTTTAATTTTTGTAATGCAATAACTTAAACGGTGGTTACCTATCCTATCACCTTGATTAACTTCTAACCCATCTCAAGCGTAGTGTGAGCTATTCCAAAAAGTAGGGATTCGGTTTTCCTGGTCTCCTTTAAACACCATTACATAGCCTCGCTTCGCTCCACTTCCCTTTGACCCCGCAAATTGACCGCAACATTTGACAATTTTCGGCATTTGCCAAATCCGCCACAAAAATGGTGGTCCGGGCAGGAGATAGAGAAAATCAAGAGAAATGTTATGTACTTTGTCTCCGTTACTGTTCCAAATCAAACAAAGGCGGCAAAGGCAACCGGAGGGTCCAATTCACAAAAGCAGACGACGGTCACTGTCATTGTCAGCGAATCACAGTGGTTAGAAAGTTAACATTTTGTTAAAAAAAAAAAATAGATGTTAAAATCTAAAAATGTTCTCAGCTACTAACCAGGAGTGTTTTTTGCTTGGGTGTACATATTACAAATTATATCAATGTGTTTTCATGAGAGTTGTTAGACTTTGTTCCACTGTGCGAATGGAAGAATGGCGGGCAGGTCGCCGACGAAGCATCTTAGAGATAATTGCTTTGATAAGGCTTCGCGTTCGGTCGAAAAAAGGAGCTCGGGGCTGTCCAAAAACATTTTTTATAAATGTCGCCAAATATTTACATGTCGCAGCTTTGGGAAGCCGTCCAGCCAATTTTTTTTCTCATGGCCACCTTTGCCTATTTCCACCAAGTTTCACCCTGGCCTGGCCTGGCCCGCATTGGCCGCGGCTTGACTTTGCCAACTGACCGGGCGCAGTGGCTTCCTGGCCGGCGATAGCGATTCCGGATGGTGGTGGCCACCGTCGCGTTTGTGGAAACCGCATAAAAGTCATTGTCACAGCAAATGGATTAATTTTCGCGGCACGCTGACATATATACCTCTCTTTCGCGCTCACTCTTTAGCACCCACTCTGTCCGTTTGTTTTTCCGACTCTTTTTTTTCGTACCGCTTACTGTTTGGGTATATGTGTTCTAAGACAGCGTGTAGTTTTCCGCTTAGGAGTAAATTATTTTATTTTTAGTTGGAATATCTTATGTCATTGCCTTAGTACGTAATTCCCTTCTACTTGATTACCTTACATTTTACATAACATTTTACATTACAGGCTACTTTACTTTTGTTTTCAAAACTCAATATGTAGATTTCAGTTTGGGGTATTAAATAGTCGGAAAACTTTATTTTTTGGGTGTATAGAAACATTAAAAAGCCTGCTCTGCGGTTGAGCAGGTCGCTGGTGGGGGTGTGGGTGTGGGTGTGGGGTGTGGCATTTACCGCAACAATAATTACGTTTTGGGTGGGGTTTTCAGATCCTGATGCTGGCACGGAAGTGTATAATGTTGCTAAGTAGTTGCGGTCATTTGTTGTTGTTGGGTGACATTTTTTGCTCCCTCTGTCTCATAATGTAGTTGTTGTTTCGTGTTCCGTAATTATCCTGAAAGGCAACAGGAGGTTTATTTCCCGCTATAAATGCTTCATAATTAAGTTTTTGTGGCTCTTCAAAACAAGTAAATAAGTAATTTTCTTATATCCTCTTCACCTTTAAATGTATTGTACGCAAAGGAGTTTTTAAACAAAAGTCAAATGATTAACTAACAATCCGTGAAGCCTAAGGCGCTCTAGTTGATGATATAAAGCAATGTAAAAACATAAATATTTGTTTGTAATCCAAAAAGAAAATGTGCGAAATCAGGAGACATTTTAATAAATATAATATATAGTTTATAATTTTTCTTTTTTGTTTTTACCTTTACCCCATTCAACAACTTTAGGGACTATACCCTTTTTCACTGTCCCTAAGACAACTTTACCAGTATTTTTCTTTTTAGCGGTACTACTAAGCGTTTTGATTTTCGGTTGTCCTCTTGTAGTTGTGGTTGTAGTGCCATAACGTCTTTCAAAAGAATCGTCTACATTAGGTTCCTGCGGATATGATGTCGTAGTTTCCAGATCTGAATGATCCATGGGCGATGTAACCATTGAAGAAGTTGGCAAAGGCTTTATTGTCGCAGTGGCTGGCTTTGAAGGTTTCGGTGTCGACTTTTTCTTTGTTACACCTTGCCTATATTTATTCATTATTTTGAATATCATATCAAGAATTTTAGCTGCCTCTTGTTTCTTTTTTGGCACGGTAATGCAATTGCGTAAGCAGTCGGTTCGATATCGAAATCCGTTTCGACAAGTCAATTTGGGCTGGCAAAGGTTAACCTTTGGGTTATGAAACCATTTTAGTTTTTGTGATAAGCAATCGACAGCGTAACGTTTTTTGCAAGTACCTAAACAAGAATTGTAGAGATTTAATAATGTATTTTAAAATTAATTTGTAATTATAATTAATTATAATTAATTTGCAAAATAATTAATTTTGTATTTCTCAGAGTTGACTTTAATTCGACTTAAAATCATATTTTTTCATATTTTCCTTCAATTTGCTTACCAGAAGACTCCTAAACTAAAAACTTATTAGTGGGTGGGCGCTAGGTTTTTTATATATTTTATATATATTCGACTTACTGCGATCGAGTGGCGCAAAGCAAACAGCTATCAGCAAACGAAAAATTATTAGCACTAGGAACATGTCCTCAAGCATAACTGTGCAATGGAGATGTGTCAGTCCACAAATGAAAATACAAATTGTAAAAGTTTAATCCGTCCAAATGCAATTAGTTAAGCCATTCTCCACCAAGTCGAAACGATTTGCGAATATCTTTCTTTGCCACAATAGCTCTATCTTGTTTAGTTGCCAATCAGAGCGAGTGCCAAACACTTGGGCAAACTGCAGGCTAAAACTACTATTCGCAGAATGGTACATAGTAGTAGTATCGCAGACACAAAACGGAGTGCTATTTAACTAAAAGCTAAAAAGCACCGACAGAAGCCAGTCCGCAAACTAAAACTCGCCTTTCTTGCCTACGCTCACAAATGCATCTGAGTTGGCCAAAAACCCGCAGACATGCGGGGAAAGGGTGATTCGGGATCCGAAACTAATCACCAATTAGGGATGGCATAGAAAGATGAATGCTGTTGGTTCAAGAGCTTACAGTTTTGTATTAGCCACGTTGATTCCAACGTGGAATGTAAATACTAAAATGTTGAATTCTTTAGTGTGTTCTTTCTTGATTAAGAAATGTTTAAGGGTCATTTTACCGGGTAACTCGGTCACTTGCAATCACGCTCACATCTCCAACTCATTCGCACTCCAGCTCGCAGATAACGTGGCCAAAAAAATAGCCCAGCCAAAAGAGAGCCAGCATAGAAATAGAGAGAACGGATAATAGAGTGAAAAAAGCAGACTGGAAGAAATTCGATGTGTTCTTTGGAGATTTGGCAAGTAAAGTTGCCCGCTCATGCGAAGAGCAGCAAATGTGTGCAATGGGCACAAGTCCTCACCCATCCTTTTTCCCTATTTTCGCCAGTTTCGGGTGAAAATTTCTATGTAATTTCGCGGGTAAAAAAACGTTGAAAATGTTTGGTGTTTAGAGTAACTGACAGGTGCATCGCGTTTGTGTGTGTGTCCGGTGGGCGGAAGTGGGAAATGTGTGGGTGTGGGTGTGTTTGTTTTTGTGGCCGGCACATGGCGATGAAACATATGGGCGGGTGGCGAAAATCGGATAAGGATACAGAAAAATAAAGTAATTGAATTTTCACAGTGCAGATCAGAGCACAGAAAACTAGCATTCCCGGTTGTTGCTACTTTTAATGCGCGATTGTCTTCTTGCAACAACCAAAGGCTGTGATAAAACTATACAAGTCAACTAAATTCGATTGCGTTAGCCGTTTCACAATCAACAGATACAAAAAAATGGGACAGGACTTGAACAAGAAATATTGAAAAGAATTGCGCGCTGCTGATTTATTATTTCTTTTGTTTTAACTTTTGAGCATGGTTAACTGATTGAAGTGACATTAAAGCCGCTTTTTTCTACGGGATTAACCAACTTTTAATTACGTAACAAACAGCAGGAAGCCTGTAAAAATGATAAAACCATCATTTCGGTCTGATAAATGTCATTCACGTGATTATTGACATTTACGGTTTTCTTTGTTTTTTGGCGACCCCGCAGGGAACAATGACAATCTAGCGGTATTGCCGTTGGTGTGGTAGAAATTCGCGGGCCTACCAAGAAGCCGCAGCGTTTGCGGTCTACCACAAGCGGATATGCGGCCTTTGGCCAAAATGCCAATAGCCATTTCACTCCGCACACATATACATTTACATATATCCCTTGCCTCGCAGGATGTGCGTTAAACTGGGGTAAATGTTTATAAATAGGCTGCGGTAGCCGTCGAAATTTAACAGTGATAGCAGCTCCATTCGGTGGTGCATAAACCACTTTTGGCAGTGGCGACGCTCTCGTGGTTTGGTGTTCATTTATTCCAAATTGTTTGGTTTTAGTTACACATAGTTCTCTTATTTGCATACCACTTAAAGGTACATTTTTCCAAAATCGCAACTTGGCAAGGTGCACTTGGAAAAATTATAATTTTAAGTATGCTGATATGGACTTTATTAACACGGATAACAAACCTTTTTTTATTTTCAGAGAATGTGTACAAGTTCCTACCTAAAATGTATTAAGAGTCCCCAAAGCAATTACTAAATCAATGATTACAATACATTTTAATTAATTTGTATATATTCAAATATTTTCTGAGTTGCCCGTTTGCTTCCACATTGGGCACCAATCTACACAATCTGAAAACTTCGGCGAAATAAACATTTACAACAAAACTAATACAATCCAATGGCGACCACATTGAAACAAATAATGGGGCCAACAACGAACGGCAACTGGTTATAACTGCAACATCTGTTTGAACAAATAAGCAAAACACGGAAATGTATTTCGCTGCTTTCCGCACCACGCCCATTTTGAAACTGCTCTCGAATTTCAGGAGTCTGACCTTAAAGCACACTCGCACTTAAATAGGAGAAACTAATTTTTAAAATTTACAATAAGGAAAGTTTTATTTTAAAATTACACTTGTTCTTTATCAAGTCTGCAGTATCTCAAACGTGGTAAGCTAAGGCACAAATTCAGCTTTAAGTGTGGTTTTAATTTTTTCAATCAAAACAAAAGTCTAGTATTTTTCCCACCCAATCCAATTTAAGCACATACATTTTTTAATATTTGAGCCCATTGAATACAAGGACATTTATTTGTTCAGCGACGGAAATCTCATTTAGGTTGTAATAACAAAATGCCACGCGAAAATCAATTAAATTCATTTCCCATTAAAATTGTCCATTGCAGAACAAAACCCTCATCCACCAGTGGGCGGTAGAACTGGTTATCCAGCCCAGCTCATTTGGCATCTGTTGCCACCGTTGTCATTTTGGTCGCAATTCACGTGTCTCCGCCACTGAAACTTCCCGATACCCTTCCCCATCCGCCCGACCATGTTGTTTTACATTTCCGGTAATAAATATACGTTTGACAAAATAATAGAGAAAGCTGGTGGAGCAGTCAGAGATGGCACACAGGTGGTACTTGGCAATTTGCCCAACATTTTTGCGGGGCGTGGGAAATTGGAATTTTGGAAATTCGCTCGCTAGGTGAGAAACTTTGCGGCATTTCATTTCCTGCATTAAATTAATTATTGCTTTGAGTCCTGCTGATTGCCTTCAAACAGTATGCGATTTATGCGACCAAAAAAATGGTTCTCTATTACCTCTGTTCAAAAGGATTGAATGCCAGGCCTAAACGTGTTGTTTGAAAGAAATAAATACCAGCTACCAAAAAAGGTGTACTAAGTTTACAAATTATTATATTTCGCACATCCTCTTGTCAGCTAAGTGACAGCGCGGCTGAACAATGGGGACAATGCGTGGCCGATGTGAGCCGAGTGTGGAAATAGGATGTAATGGGAGAGCACTAGGGAAAGGTGAAGGGCAGGAGGCACCGGAGGCACACACCTGAGAAGGAGTCAGGAGTCATAACCATGACCAAAGTCACACGACATGGAACTCACACACACATGCAGCTAGGTCCACATCCGGTGACATCCGGTACTTCCTGTTCTGCACACTCCGCCTGTCTCCGTCGCACTCACTGCGCAAGGATGCTGGGCCGCAGCGTTCCTGCGGCCTTGTCACACGTTATCCTGCCCACCAACTACTCTCTCGTGAATGCGGCCGTCGAACACCAGCCATCTCACTTTACTGGGAACCAAGAGTTAGGCTGCTAATGCAGTTTGGGATGCCCTAACTTCCTGCAGGCTCAATTCATTTGACATCCGAAAACTCATTGTCTATCTATTACTTTCTGTTCAAGCTAGCAGTTAGTTTTATAGTTTCCAGCAACTGATTCTGTATTTTTACTTGCAACTGATGAATGTTACAATACTGATACTTTTTTTAAGATTCAGGAAAATGCAACACATCAGGTATTCGGATGTACATTTCGGATTGGCTTAAATGTTTCTAGCCCTGCAAAAAGAGTGTAGAAAATGAGACCTGCTAAGTGCAATTTGATATCTACGGCTTACTTCTTGAAGTTAGCTGCTGGAGCCGCTCCTCGTCTCCTGTCTGTCATGCATCCGTTTGCAGGACGCACGGAATAATTCCATTTGTGTGTGCGGGCCCCTACCCGATGTCCTGGTCCTGGCATCCTCTGCTCCTGGGTATGCGTGCTTTCAACGGGCGTGGGCGGTGATGATCCCAGGCGCCCTGTTTCCCCCGCCCGACTGGCTGACTGGCTGGCTGCCTGGCTGGCTGGCTGACTTATTCCACTTCCCTCCTGGGATCCTGGAATCCTGGGATCCGAGCCACTGCAGCCCTGGATCTCTCACGCTTGATGTAGTTGGTGGTTTACTACTAATTTGCAACCACATCGTTTGTTTTGTGTGAGCAGCCCCACTCCTCCGCCAGCCAGTGTCCTTTGTGTGTGACAGGAGCTCCAATTCAGCCCTTCTTCCCCTGCTGCGACACGTCTGGTGCATTAATTCTTGCATCACAATAGGAGCAGGAGAGGAAGGCTCCTCTGCCTCGCACACTTTCTGTCAGCTCGCTTTGTTATAAATGGTCCTCGTCCTAGTTCCCTCACTGGCTGTAGTCCAGAAGTCGTCTTTTCGGTATTTTCGCCGCTTATCAGTCCAAGCTGCATATTTTGTGGTGCCATTGACTTAGCCAACAGCGAAATTTTCTGAAGGAGCTCTACGCAAGGCGAGCTATTTGTCATATTTTGGGTTCTCTGTAATTATTAATACATTGAAGACAGCATACATTGTTCGCAATTTAAGTACGCTTGCTAAGCTCGTTTCTGTAGGAATATAGCTTCCTATATATTTTACCCATCAAAATACATAGTCTGTAAGTTGATACAGGAAAATTACAGGAAATCCTGTAAAAGAAAAGATTTCTTTCGTATTCCTTGAGCCCGAGAACATATGAAGTGCCTTCGTTTGCATGGAATAATTTGTGGTCTTCCAAGCAATAAGTGGGGTGCTCCAATATTATTTCGCAATGGTTCATAAATTGGCATTAAAAAGTATTTAGCATGTTAACAAGGCAACTAAAGAGCTTGAAGGTATGCATTCAACATTGGTCGCATGCCGCATTCAGAAATAATAAAGTGAAAAATTGACAGCAGCCAGTGTTCATACATGAAAGCCAAGACACAACATAAACACAAATATAATCACATACTCCACAAGGACACGTGTATGTT